TAATATAGAAAGAAAATACCCATAACCTCTAGGGGGGTGGTGGGGCAGACAAGATTGATGGAAAGTGCAATTGTCTGGAGAAATGGCAACCTAGTAATGGAATACTGGGGTGGGGGTGGTGCATGGACTGGAAGCAAGTTCTTTAGCTGGATTTGGCTTTGTTTTCTCAAAGGAAGGTGAAGGGCATGGCAAGGATGGTTTTTATCCCTTGGGTTGGGCCCCAGGAATGGCTCCTCTTGCCAGAATCACTAATAAGGTAGATGCCCCGACTTCTCTCCAGAGTCCAGCGGCAGGTAAATGCCCTTGGCCTGCCCTGTCTCAGGACACGGGGTTTATTCAGCATCAGGGTCAACAGCAGTCCAGGGGCTGACAACACTTTGGTCTTGGAGAGATTGGCAGATTTTGTGATACCCATCTTGTCCGCTGCTTCAAATTCGGGGTGTCAGTAGGGGATGTTAGAAGAACCTTTCAAGCACTGTTTCAGAAATCAAAATTCATTTTGCCTCTTCTGATCTTATACCTGCTCTCCGGAGTAAACACTGGTCGAACTTCAAGAAGAGAGAGGGTCTGCAGGAACTTTCTCTCTGAGCCTGTGCACTGTGGGTCTCCCTAGCGAAGCCCATCTGGTCTGGCTCCTAGGGAAGAGCTTCAGCTACAGCTGACTTTGCATTCCAGTTTAGATGAGAAATAATAGTACAATAGTGTATGGAGGATAAATACTTGTCAGTGCATTTGTTTTTCCATGGAAGTTCACCTTTGCTTCCTATGGATCACTGTTATTATGTGCACAGGCCTGATGGGGTTCAGGGGTGGTGTGGCGGAGCCTGGGGATTCCAAAGCCACTCAGGGACCAGAGGCCCTTCCTCCTTGGTGGACGTGGGGTCACAGCCCGGTTAATGGCTGCCCCTGGGAAAGGCCATTCCATTGGGAAGCAAGAAGTCTCTCCTGACTTTGGGAGAAGGGCTGAGCACAGGAAGTTACTCACCCTACTTCCACTTCCCTTGCCTTCCTTCTCTTTTCTTTTTGGTACCTAGGATCTGGCAGCTGATCTAAAGACCCAGACTTGTTATCACAATGCCATCATTAGCTGAAACAAAATCATTCCTTGTAACCGGAATATAGTTACTACAAACAACATATGTTTATTGGGCATTCTGTTTCTAATAACTGTAATTATGCTAGAATAGTTGCCATTAATATAATAACAACAATGATCGACCAGTTCTCTGTTCCAGACCAATAACTTCACCTGAATGCACTCTTTGTTCAGGGGGAGAAAAAAAAAGAGGTAATTCAACATCCCTGGTGATCGTCAACAAAGCCAGTGTTGAAACTGGAAGACGCATGGATGAAAGCCTTCCTGGGGATAAAAGATGGTGCTGGGGAGATGAAGAGCCACCTGGCAGTCTCCCTCTTGGCTAACAAAAGGACCCTGTCTGTGTCCCCACACTCAAAAGTTGAAAGGAAATGAAAACCCAGGGACTTTCAGAAAAATCTCTGGGCCTGGGCCTCACTCTCATCCTGTGGGGATAGGTCTGGGTCTGGATGTCCCCTGAGGCTGAGGGGGAGCCCCCCTGGTAGGTAGAACAAGGGGACTGCAGCCTGGACTTGAAACTTCATCCTATAAGACCACTTCTTAGGTATGGACCCCTCCTTGGTGCTTTTTGGCTTATTTCCACTTATAATTAAAGAACCTTAGAGGTCACGGAGACCAACAGTCCCATTTTACTCATCTCTCAATCTAGACTACAGATCTACACACTTTGAGACCTCTCACAATGCTCTACATATGGGAAATGCTCAGGATCTGGGTAATGCAGGACTAACATGACCTGCAGTGAAGCTTCGAGTACCATGCTATGAATAAGCTCTTCCCCTGGCAAGGAGAGGGGACACTTGTGTCTGGGAGCTTCTATAAAATCACCTTTTAAATGTGTAATTTTCTTTGTTACCCCTTATTCTTGCTATAGCTCTTCTCAGGGACTAAAACATAGAGAGAAAAAAACAACAATGACATAAAAAAAAAATTACCTTATTTTCATTAGGAGCCAGGGCTTTCTTTCTAAGCTTGAAGCACAATGACCTCCTTCCACTGACCCAAATAGCTAGATCAGTCAAAAACTCACAAATATTTATTATTTCTTTTCCCTTCGGTACGTTTCCCAGGATGCTACTGCTACAATGCCCATCGTGAAGTGGACAACTCGGGCTTCTCCACTACATTATACTCAAGATGGTCCTAGTATTGAGGTGGGTAGAAGGCAGCCTCCAAACTTGGACCAGAAACACAGACTTAGAGCTTCCTTTTCTTAGGATAAATAAACATCCAGGAAAAAGAGGAGCAAAAGTTACTTCCACTCAATGATGTGATAGGGAGGCATAGAAGCCTCTCGCTGCAATGGTCTGCCAGGCTCACCATAACACAGACTGGGTGAAATGGAGAGTGTCTGAGGGTGGCAGTGGTATGTTACTTCATCACCACCCCCCATCGGCCGTGTTCCTTCAGGCCTTTTGCTTTCTTGGGGGCCCCGGCACCATGTCCTCTGAGATGCCGTGACTCTCTGCCAGCCTTTGCAGAGTCAGGGGCAGGTGGGGGGTTGTGCCTGGCTGGCAATCTGGGCGCTTGAAGACAGCGTTCTTCTGAAGGGAAATCTGAACTGCCCTGGGAAACATGGTGGGTTCTTCTTTTGTTCTCTTCTAGTTCTTTTTTCCTCCTTTGGAGCGGCAGATGCAAGCCGCTTTTGTGTATTTAAGAGACAAAAACTTGGGACAAGAGGAGCAAACAAGAAAGAAAAGGCAGAAATTTGAAAACCTCCTTCAAGGTAATTAAGTGATTAGGGGCCTTTGAAATCCACCAGATCACTCAATTGTTTCTACTTTCATCTATTTTATCCTTGGGCCTCTCCACACATGAAACCTTTGCCAGATACACGGGTCCAGGAAGTCGGAGAGAGGCTGAAAACCTCTTAGTTTCTGCTCCCATCAAGTCATCTGCAGGTTCCCGAACAAAGTAAGAGGTTTCTTCCTGGGCCCTCAGTCCCTGGTCTTGGTGGATGAAGGGGCTTCTTCAGACCTTCTTCTCCTGACCCCATGGCCAAGATAAAGGCTCAAGGTTGAAGAAACTGTTACAGCCTTTTATCAGGGTCTTCATGCCAGAGGTATTGCCCCTTGGCTGTCAAACCCATGTCTGTCCTACGAGCTTTAGATCCATTTTCTCTAAAGAACAGAATCGACCATACACATTAGCTTCATGTTCCTTTTGAAAGCCAACATGTACTCTCTTTCCTTCTTTTCCCCATAGAAGGGCAATCTAAGCATAGGTCTCTTTTCTGGATTATGATCCAGAATAGCCATTGGTAGCCATAGACAGACCCTGCCATAGAGGGAGAGGACTTTATGTCTGGAGACTTCCACAGCCTCTTCTTTCTTTTCTTTGTTCCTCGTTTCTTTCTTGTTTGTTCTTCATGTCTTCCCTCTCAACTGGGATCATCCCCTCCCCTCGGCAACCTCACCATTCCTCGCCTTTACCTCTAGAGTGAATTGCTCTGTTCACGCTCTATCTATAGAACTCCTGCTCAGTCATCAGAGTCTGGGAAAATGGGATTTGGAGCTTGGGTTTTCTCCATGCCAGGCAGAGTTCAGTCATTTTCCCCTTGGGCTGGCAGAACCCAGTGCAGCAGGTGTTGGCAGTGGGGAGTACAACATTCTTCCCTGTCAGTCTCAGAGACAAGACAGCTTCCCTCCTGCCATTAAGGTTTGGCCAAACCTCCGGAGATAGAAGTCTGGGACAAGGGCACTGTGATGGTCCTCTGTGCTCACCATTCCCCTGTGGTACCCTAAACAGCTTTTATGCTTCCTATACCAGGACAATCCTCTGCTCTCAAAGCTGTGGGGTTTGCCACATGGTCATGGTACATTTGTGGATATGCAAAGTGGGCTGGAAGGTACACTCAAGGCTGGGGAAGGGGGTGAAGATGTTAGAAACTGTCTGAGTCATGTTGGCTGAGAGACCGTGGGCCAGGCTGGCAGCTCTGACCCCGCATTGAGTGGGGTCTAACCAACACTGTGTATACATACAGAATCTTTCTATTCTAAATAGCAACATTCCGAGGCAATCACTTTGTTCAGTCCTACTGGCCTGATGGTTGGAGACACACAAGCACCATAATGGTTGAACAATAGCAGACTTTTCCAAAGTATCTTTATACCCATTATCTTTGAGGTGCTTGCCCACAAGCTTACATCCTAAGAAAGGCAATGGCATAGGCATAGAATATTCCTATTACAATGATGAATAATGTTCAAGGATGAGAATAAAGATTGGGAGAGACTAAAAACACAGCTTCTTAACCATGAAGCCAACTCTAGTGATACCCAAATGGGACCGTGCAGCAGAATCACCAAGTACTGAGCCGATCCCCAGACTTTCTCATCCAGTTGGTCTGGGGTGGAGTGCTTGACTTTGAGTTTCCAACAAGTTCACAGGTGGTGCTGATGCCACCAGTCTGGGAATCACACTTTGAGAAGCACCACTCTGGCTGGTAAGTTGACCATTCATTCTTTCTTGTTTCTCTCTCCCTTTTACCCAACTTGTCCTACTTGATCTCAGATATGCTCTGTGGACAATGTTCAGAGGGACAGCCAAGGAGTCTATATATTGTCTTGCTGCAGACTTACAACTATTTCTATCACATACACACTCATCACTCTGGAATTGTTCTAGAACTCACCTGGCATGTGGAGGCGCTTCATGGTTGGAGTGACTTGGAATGTACCTTTGCCTAGCTCAACCTCCAGGACTGACTCAGAGCCCACCAACCCCAGCACAGAGCTTTGCTTGTTTACTGCTTTCATGAAGTGGTCCCTTAAGAGTTGGGGTTGGGGCGGAAGCAGGTGTCCTGTAGGATTTGCCTCTGCTTTCTCTTCTTAAGGGAAGGCCTGCCCTCCATGCCCCATGTTCAGAGCAAGCAGCACTCACCACTCTAGCTGCCAGGACCTACCTCAGGCAGCTTCACTCGGCCTTCCTGGAAGGAACAAGTCTTGGGGTCATGGGTACAGACGTGACGGTATTTACACCAGTGGCAGCGGTATGGGCTCTCAACACAGGACAGGCACCTGAGCACAGAGGAGGAAGAGGAACAAATTACAGAACCTGGGTGAACCCAAAGCAGAGGGTCTAGGACTCTTGGCTTTAGAAAGATATTTTTTAATAGTAAGAGAAACCACTTTTAAACCCTCAGGAAGGGCAGATCTGATACAAATCTGGCCCTTTTTGCACCAAGTTCTCAGGATGCCCAGAATCTGGGGCCTCCCCCCACCCCCAACTCAGATGGTTGAAACCTTAATCCTCAAGGGCCTAATCAACCACCCTCCATCTCCACAGGATGGTGACCTCTTCTGTTGAATTGGGGGACAATCAGATCTGAAGTAGGGGGTTTCATTCAGGGGGCCCATATAAGTTAGTGCAAAGAAAGAAATTGACTTTTAAGTCAAATTGACTCTAGGTTCTCACTGTCAAGGACTCACATGGTCCCACCTGGGCAGTGGAAGGTCCTGAGGCTTCTCTCTTAGTGCAGTGGGTATCTGTACAGTTGGCAACCCTGCTTCTACACTTCACCCCCACAAAACAAAGACACTTTGTAAGAGCTCCTTCCTGCCTAAAAACCCAGCATGGTTCCCATCTTCCTGAGCGTGAAGAAACCCAAATGTCTTGTCACGCAGGCTAAGCCCTTCAGGATATCCAGGCCCACTGTATCCACATGTATTTGGTATTTCCTCCATGAACAGGCCATGCTCTCCTCATGCTGTCTTTCTACCTGAAGCATCACTTTCCTTTCCTTCACCTGGCCATTTCCTCTTCCTTCTTTGACCAACAAAGAGTTGGTCACACCGGGCCCTTATCCCATTAATCACTTTGTTTATGTCTCTGGGGCAGTACTGGCCTTGTCGGTTCATATTTTACTTATTCACTGTCTAGTTCATCCACTAGTCCACATGGTCCATGACTTTGGGAAGCAAAGACGGAGTCTTTGAGTCTTATTAATTGTTGATCCTTCCTGTCTAATGAGTAACACACTGTCCTGCACAAAGCAGATGCTTAAAATTACTTTGTGGACTTCATGGGAACTTCACACATGATTTCATCTATCTACACTCTGCTTTCCTAGAGGGGCTAAAGGGGAGCGAGGGATTAGGTTACCAAGTGGTAAAGCTATGGGCAGCTCCATGATAAGAAACAGGAAGATAGTCCCGGCACTGAGGCAACTTGTTTTTGGCTGGGAGGCCTGATTCCCTCTTACTGGGAGCTGTAAAGGTAGCCAAGTTCTGGATTCATAACTGCCATAACCAGATAGATAGACTAACATCCCACTGGCCTAGAGCCCCATAATGTCTTGGGCTATGTTAGCTAGCTTGTCCTATAGGCAGAGGAAAACAGGATAGCATTTCAAAACAAGGAGGGCTTTATGGTTTTCAGACTGTGCTCTATGGAACCCTGGAGGTTCCATGGAGCTTCTTTGGAGATGAGGAGATGGATGTATGGATTCCAAGACAGAGAGGTTCCAGGAGCCCCCAACCCTTAACCAGAGTAGCTCCTACTTCCATCTGTCTTGAATATTGGGTTTCCACATTGAATTTTGGCTGGAGAAAGGTTCCTATGATTAAAAAAAAAAAAAAAAAAAGGTTTCTACCTTCTCAGTCTGGTCTAACTCTATCATTTCACAGAGGAAATAATACAATGACAGCAAAAACATGAGCAGTGCCTAGACAGTGGCTCTAGCTGCTGTGCTTGTAATGGCTCTTCAGGTCCTCACAGGTGTCTGTGGGCCAAGCTGTGCTGATGTGCAGGGGTAGCAAGCAGGGGTGTCCCAGCCAACCACAGCTCTGCCCAGAAGTGCCCTTGCCATGTCAGAGGTGGCATATTTGGATGACATTCCCGGAAGGTCCTCCTTCCACTATCTCTCTATTGACAGAGGACACTGGGACACAGAATGGGTACGTTTCTGGCTGCCCCGACTCCACAGCCTGAGACTCTGTCCTCTGTGCCTTCCCTTGGGAAGGGGATGTTTCACTCAAACAGGGCCAGCGCCAGAGCTGGAGCTGGAGTAAGACCTCCTGGGCCAGAGCCCGCTAGCACGGACCTTTCTGCCCTGCTCTGACTCAGCCCTCAGGGGCCTGGGGAGAGCTGAGCATTCAGTGTTATGGTGGACCACCTGCCCTGGCCTGGACATATGTGGGGGCTTCTCTCCCTGCTTACACCCCTCCTCTCACCCAGGGTGCTGGCTGCTCTGTTCTTCAGGTGAGGGACACCCTGCTCCTCAACAGATGGTAGGAACTGAATCAGGTTAGGCAGATTGATGCCGGAGATGTATCGGTTAGGGATTTGGAGATCCCCATCCTACAGGTTATTACTCTGCTCTTCCTATTAACTCTGTGGGTACCAGAGAAGGGGTCTGCTTCCTTACAGTCCTTCTTACAAACGGCGCCGGCATCTTCTGTCTCTGGGTGAACATGGACCCCAGGAACAGGGAGTTGAGTGAGGCTGGGAGGCACTTACGAATTGTGGACGCTGCAGTTGTAGAAGACAAAGCTGGTGCTGGCAAATGTCATGCCTGTCTCCTTCGACTTGAGCTGCAGCTGGACAACATGGTGGTCCCCTGGGGGGCAGAGACAACGACGAGGTCAGGGGAAAGGTCAAGTTCCTGTGTGAGGGTCCTACTGAGAGTGATGTGCATTGGGAAAGGGGAGCCTGCTCTCTTGGGGGTGCTCTCAGCACTGACAGGACTCTGGTTCGGGGGGCCCGGTCCCAGGACAGCCCTGAGAACATCTGCAGAGGGCGCTTCTTATCTGTTCCTCCTTCCACCCTGTGTTCCCAGCACCCACCCCTCATCTGCTCACCAGCTCTCATGTGTGCATACCCTGACAGGCTTGCATGCATGGTGTCCATGCCAGACTCACAGAATTATAAACATACACATGGCTTAGCTACCACGACAACCATGTAGACTCTTTGTAACACTGCCACAAGCCACGCAAGAGATTTTGTATGTATGTGCATGTATGTGCACACATGGGTTCATTCCTCATCTCAGTAAGGAGACACCCCGATTTGACACCCCCTCCTCTGGTGGGCTCAGGGCTCCGTTCGGGCGGGTGTCCCTGGAATCCTCAGCTGGCGCCAGGGAGGAGCTGCAAGCCCATGTTTAATTCACAGCCCTGACCCTGGGCCCCCACTTCCAGCCTTGTTCTGTGCCTTCCCCGAGAGCCTCATTAATCAATCAGTTGGGAACAAATGTGACAAGCCCAAAAGGGAGGGCCAACATGAAATCAATCTGCCCAGGCTGGGCCTGTCCCTCACCAGTGTTGGGCCTCTGTCCACCCCTGTTCCTCCCAGTGCAGCTGGCCATGAACATGCAGCCCTGGGAAGGCAGGGCAGGGGATTGGAGGCAGTGGTCCAAGATCAGAGACCCAGCAATGCAGGCAGGGGACAGAGCCACAGGAGTCTTGACATCTTCCTCCCTGCCTGCCATGCTCCTGACCAGCTGCCCCTCCCCACTGGCCCCTCCACGCCACCCTCTCCTGCTCCAGGACAATCTCCAGACTGGGCTGGCACATTCTGATGCTGTCCTGGCCTTGCCCTCTCTCCGCAGTCCCTTCAGCTGCTCCTACCTAGGATGAGGCTGACTCCAGGATGCTCACCTAGTTTCAGCAGTCATTTCTGAGAGCAGCAAAAAGATGCTTTTTCCTCCTGTTCCGTATCATACCCACCAAAGCACCCCTTCCCCTGACTCCCCTGACTGTGGGCTCCCTCCGGGCCCCCCATGCCTGTCTTGAGTTCTCATCACGATAGGAGGAAAGACATGCCACCCAACTTTGCCTCTGGGGACCACTCACCATTCTCCGTGATTATTCGGGGCACCTCCTTGGCTGCCGGGGAGTAGCACTGGATCTGATTGCCTACCACCAGCCCATCCATCTCTGACAGGTCCTCAAAGGTGCAGTTGACGCCCGCTGACAGCTCCGGGACATTGTATGTCTCTAGGACCAGCTGCGAACAGCCCCGGCAAGGGGAGACAGAGAGGAAGAGAGCAAAGTGGGGCAAGGAAGGGTATGTAATAAAAGAAGAAAGAGGGAGAGCAAGAGATCAGAGAGAAAAAGAGAGAAAATAGGAGACGATAGATATTAACATAGAGAAAAGAAAGCCAATTGATCACAAGACAAGAGGCGGCGGGATGTAGAGTCAGACACAGAGGAAACTTCGTTACATATGAATGGAATTGTCCTCAGGAAATGGGAGTGCTTAGGGGATTTGTTGGTAGAAAGAAAGGTGGGCAGGACTGAGGTATTGCTGGTCAAGTTCCTCTTCCATCATCCCCTATTTTGGAAAAATGGCAAACCAACCGCCAGTGCATGAACATGGGAGATACCCTGCCCCTTTCTCCCTCTGCACATAAATCCTTCCCATTTTGCAGACAAAGATATAGTTCCCAACATCTTCCCTCTCTTGGTCACCTTTTCAATCATTTTTGGTGTCACGCTTTTCCCTATCTCCCCACCCATTATGCAGAGGGTCTCTGTCCCGGTATTCCTGTGCATGTCCCCTCTTCCATCTCTGGGGACACATTCTTTAAAGCTGCCCTCAAGCAGCCTTGCTGGTCAGGCCTGGCCCAGCTCTTAAGGGCACTGGAGGACTTTGGTGGGGGAGAGGGCTCTCCCATGTCCCCAGACCCGGATCCCACTGCTCTTACCAGGACATTGTACTGGGAAACAGAGATGTTACTGGGATGGACCGTCAGCCGGACACACTGCTTCATCTCAGAGGCGAACCTGCGGGGCTCTCTGGATCTCTCACAGCGCTCCTTCCGGGTGCACCTGGGAGGGACAGACCAATGAGTGACTCAGGAGAAGGTCACTTGCTCCAGTGAGGGGCCGACACAGAGGTCAGGCACTGCCAGCGGCTCCCGGGACATGTTCAAACAAGACTACCCTCTTTGCCTTCTTCCTCCAGCCTGTTCCTCCCCCACCATCCCTGAATGTGAAAATGATGATTATTCTAATCACTGGTTGCCAAATGCAGAAACTTGGGGGTCATCCTGAAGACCCCTCACCTACTCCTCACTAACAGAAAGAGATGCAAAGTCCTGCTAGCCTACCTCCCCACCCATCCTCAGCTTTGTAAATCTCTCCTCTTAGGCAAACCGAGACACCGTATACACAAAATATTCTTTCCAATTTCCTTGCCTTGTGCTGGCCACTTCTTCTCTCTGGACTACCTTCTCTCCACATTTCCCCTGTCCAGCTTCTACCTACCCTTCCAGACATGGTTCAACGATTAGGCATCTGCATTCTCTCCCCAATACCACCCTAGGCAGAGTTAAGAGCATTTGGGGGTTTCTGATAGTCTAGAACTTCTTTGATTACATGATCATTATTGGATTAAGTGCAGCCCTCTCCTAGCAGGTGTGAGCTCAAAAGAAGAAACGATACCTGACTTATTTTGGAATCCCCTGTATACCTCATGTCCAGCAGCCAGAAGACAAACGTAGGCAGGTGGGAGGGAAGGAAGGAAGGATCAAAAGAACAGTGTAGCAGTTCAAAGCATGGTCTGGAGCCAGATTGCCTTGGATCAGAATCCCATCTCCCAGCACAGGGTTACTGTTATAGAAAGTTTGCTACTGTTGCTTAGCCTCCTGTGTTGTTCAAAGTACACTGCATCACGGGTAGACTACATCCAGGGTGACCTGGGATCTTACAGTCTTCACTGATGGAGCTTGTGAAACAGGCATATAAGAATCATGTACCTTCACCCAAATGTGCACATCACACATGGGGAAAGGTACTTAGACTCTGCTGGGGCCAAGGCATCCCTGCCTTGCAGTGGGAGTTCACCGCATGGAGTACCTGAGCTTTGGGCAACAGGCTTTAATCCAAGTCCGATAAACCGTGTGAATGTGGACCTTCGCTGGGCAGCTGTGATTTGGAAGCTGTGGACTCCTGATTCTATTGTGGGGTAAGGGAAAGCAGGGTCCTTAGAGGGACAAGCTGAGGCAAGCTGGGGTGGCAGGGAGATGGCTCCTGAGTCATCAGAAGGAATGCCACAGGGAAGGAACACAGCTTTGGCTTCCGTGAGAGGGATAGCCTAATGGTGGTGAGTCTGGGGGGAGAATTTAGCAAATAAGGGAAAATTCACTGAAGGCATGGACTAAAGGAAGAAGGGGGAGATGCAGGCACAAAAAGGATGACCACAGAGTAAATTGGATCAGTTATGGGAACGGGAAAAGCAATTCTAAGTAATACAATCATGGCTACTAGTCAGTGAGCACTTCTTGTGCACCCTGGTAAGTCTGCCTCAAAGTCTCCCAACAATGTCCTGAGGCAGGTACCATAAAAAACCCATTTTAGGGGCGCCTGGGTGGCTTAGTCGGTTAAGCGTCTGACTTTCGCTTAGGTCGTGATCTCGCGGTTCGTGGGTTTGGGCCCCGCGTCGGGCTCTGTGCTGACTGCCAGCTCAGAGCCTGGAGCCTGTTTCAGAGTCTGTCACTCCCTCTCTCTCTGACCCTCCCCTGCTCACGCTGTCTCTCTCTCTCTCCTAGAGATAAAAAAAAAAAAAAAAATTAAAAAACTAAAAAAAAACAACAACAACCCCATTTTAGAGACCAGGAAACTGCAAGAAGGTTGGGTAAGTAACTTGCCCAAGGTCATCAGCTCATCAGGGAGAACCAGACTAAACCCATGTCCCTGCCAGTTTGATGGTCTATTCATGTTGCTTAAGGCAATTTCAAAATTTCTCTTCAAGCTTTGTCTCTAAGCTAATCGCTTTTTTTTTTTTTTGCCTGCCACTGGGAAGCACTTTGAATATTATTACAACTTGTGAATTCTCCAGGATCCTTCTAGGAAACCCGAGAGTGAAGGGTCAGACATGAATGTGGTCACCTCCCTGGCACTCCCTGCCTGCTCTAGCTGGCTATGGCAACAAGGGCGTCTGCCTAAAAGTCTTGGAAGTTAATTTAGCAGTCTAGCTCCTCTGTGAGGACTTCATTACCTCTGGCCATTAAGCTAATGTTATGGACTTTTCCAGGGTGTCTGCACTGACATCGCTATTAATAGTGTTATTACTCCCATTAACAGCAGACCCAGAGAGCTGGTACAGGCTTAAATTATTCACTGACTCCCCAACTTTGAAGTTCTTATTTCCAATAGCAATCAGTAGGTCTGAAAAATGTCTTTGATTAAATTATGAAGGGAGGAAAATGAACCTGCACCCAGGCCAAACCTCACCTGGAGTGACTAAATAGATTCAGATGGAGAAGACAGGACTCTACGTCTCTTGCATGTCTACAAAGGTACTTGGTTGGGGGAATCTCAAGATGAAATCTACCTGCATGGTTTGTGGCTTCCAAAGTTCATGTGGCTGCATCCTGCCATGGCTCCCCAAATTTGAGAGCCCCTCAAACCAAACACACCCCTCACCCCCAATTTTGGTCTTACCAGAAAAGCCACCTGTAGCTCACAATTTTAAACATGCCATCTAACTGTGTAATCTCGGGCAAATTACTTAACCTCTTGGTGCCTCAGTGTTCTCTTCTACAAAATGGGGACAAAACAGTATCTAACAAATAGGGTTATTACAGAGAATACAATGAGGTTATGCAAATAAAATATTTAGAACAGGGCATAGCTTGTGTGCAATAAGCCATCAGTACATGTCCATTAGCACTATAACCCCATCCCTGCTCTGCCTTCCTCATGCAAGCTCTCTGAACTATAGCTGACACAGAAGCACAGATTTTCCAGACTGGCCCATGGGGCAAACCAGAGACAAAAAGACAGAGACGGCTCCAGCAGTTTTCCTCCTAATGAGGGACGGGGAGCCCCAGAGGCCAGGAGGGAGGAAAGAGGGAAAGAGTGGTCTGGCTTGCTTGGAGCTCTGCTTTCTCAGTAGCTGTCAAAGGGTATTGAGTACTCAGCTCTGTTAGTGGAAAGTCAAGTTTAAGGTCAGTGTCAGGGATGTTTTGACATTTCTACTACCCCTGAGGGCCCATGAGGGCTGAGGCTGCAAATGCCCAAAAGCACAGACAGCTGACCTTAGATGTGAGAGGGTAATGGGGGGAAGGATGGATTCCTTCGGAGTTCTTATGGGGAATGTCAGGGTAATGGCCTCCTGCTCTTCTAGGACTGTGATTTCTCATTAGCCCAGGCAAGAGCCGGGAAGTGTACAAAGGATTAAGTCATGACTTTTGGGGGTGGCCTAGATGTTTCTTTCAACAGGGCCCCAGGTACTTCCTACATTGCTTCCTTCAACTCCACTGCAGAAGAACCTTGGAGCTGGAAGAAGGTCCTGCTTCATCTGTTTGCCAGGCAGGACTCAAAAAGTGCATGCTAGGTGACTTGGAGTCTTCAGACAGTCATCCATGTGGCTGCCATCACCACACCCCTCCACAACACAGATCTGCAGGTGGCCAGCAGGAAGCGGGCTCCGAGAAGACTGCTAAGGTCCCCAGAATTGGAGTCTGTTTCTGCTAACTTCCTCTTATGCCCCTTCCTCATTCCACTTTCTCTGCAGTTGGGCCCTCCAGCCCCAGTTCAGAGGTGCTGAAAGGCCATGGGGACAGAGGCCTGGGCCCTGGAGGGGTTATTATTCAAGCCAGTGGTTCCAATGAGATTATCCTCTCTAATGAAGCAGCCACCTCCGCCCTCCTCTAAGCCTGAACTTTCGCTGCTGGAGAATTCCCAGCCAAGTGGAAAATTGGAAAAGAGAGGAACGGAGAAAGGAAGGGGGTGAGAGAGACGGAAGAGGTGGTGATTAAGTTCTTTAGAAATTAATTCCTAAGGACAGCGAAAGAAATATTAACGTCCAGTGTCACCAGCTGGGTGAGCAAATTTCAATTTGGAATTGGGGCTGCAGGTGGGGTCTGGGCGAGCCTCCAGGCTGGGGGTTAGGTGCTGGTCCGTCCCCAGGCCCTCCAGCATGGCCCCACCTGCCTTGGATCTCCGAATGTCTCCTGACTTCTTTCCACGGCTTACCCCCTCCCCCATCCTTAAATATCTCGCATTGGTCATGGCCTGGGCTTAAGTGCACCCTTGAGGGAAGCTGGGTTTAGAATATGAGGAGATTGAAAAAAATGAGATGGGGTTAGGGTTTCCCAAATGAGCTTTCCAGGAAAGTTAAGAGGAATGCTTACTAGCAGGGGCTTTTTGGTTACTGTATCCACATCTGAGAACCCAGACAAGGGAAGAAACTGGGTTTGCCAATACCGTTGGCCTTGCCCTCTTCAGAAAAGCCCACGGAAATGGGAAGGCACATCTGTGCATCTTGGAGGAAGGTGAGCTAGATGGTGAAGGGACCCTTTCCAGGCAGGTGAATGTGCAAGAGGTTTCTTACACCAAGGGTGTAGACCAGGTTATCCCTGCAGTGCATGATTCTAGGATCCAATGACTAACACCATGGTCTTGATCTAAGGATTTAAGCTGTTCTTAGAGATGTCTCCTTTGCCATCAGCTGCCGAACGGGAACTGTACTCACTGCCCTTTGCCATCTCTAAAGCTCCAAAGCCAACCTAAGCAGCAGATGTGGGTTTCCATGTCTCCTGGGTCTCACGTGCCAAAGCAGGAGGGCACAGGATTTAATGGCAACAGCAGGTGCAGGAGCCCAGAGGAGGCCCAAGAGCCTTTGTGGGCTCATGTGGTAACCACGTGGTCCTGGTGCGCATGGTTCTGGCCCACTGCCACGGGCAGCACAGAGGGGCTGAGCTCCACCCTGGGTCCTAGTTGGGAGTCTTACCTCACCTTCCTTTCAGCCCTTCTTCAAACAAATGATAATCTGAACACAAAAAAGGTAGTCAAAGGGGCCCAGGGAGGTCCCTTTTCTGGGA